GATATAGGCTACTTTTGGTCCTGGGAAGTAAACATGTCGCGGGTATAAACTAGTATATCTATAAAATAGATACACCTGTAAATTTCTCACCCGTAACTGCTCTAAGTAATTAACTTGTGATTTTTCAAAAATAGTCACCTTCCTGTAAATAATTAATCGTTAATCGATCGATTAGATGATTACGATGCACGTGTAAATATTTACAAACAGGTGTAAAGACGACCATGGACAAACAAATTCTATTTTATTACATTCTATTTTCAAATAGCTGTAAAGAAACAAAAAACATAGATTCCATCACGCCGAAAGTGAATTGCCCACATTTATTTAGATTTCCAATAAATTGCACGGCTCTGTAAAGATTTACTTCCTAATAGGACGCCATTTTTATACACCCACACACACACACAATATTCACATACACATTATTTCGCATTTTTTTTTACTCAAAAATATTTAAGTATTTAATTTAACGTACATGACAAAGGTACAAATGGCGGATATAGCACTTAATACCGTGTAAGATGTAAAAGTTTTTTTTTTGAGCAACCTATAGAAGGTTACTCAAAAAATACTATTTTAATTATTGTTTTACATTGGACTGTGTGATACTTTGTATGAAATATGAATCTAAATTATTAAGAATAAAAAGACCAAGATACAAAATAGCTCTCTTGCTATAAGTATTGGATACCCTAACCGTTACTAGTCTTTTATTAGGTTTTTTTATTTCAACGTATTCGTCTCGCAGTGTATCAGGTACAGCATTATTGTGCTACGTTGTAACAATCCACGCAATTGTATTGTTATAAATACTATTATAATACTAACTTTGTAATTTTTAGAAAACCAAAGCCAATACGTTTATGTTATAAATGTATAGAACGAAATAAAAAGAAACGCGCGTTGTATATGCCACAGGGAATTTAGCAAACCCCGCTTTGAAATGAGTGGTAATAGCAGTATGCAAAACAGCGATTGAAGCGCTCATCTATACCACGACACTCGGGGGACCATCGATTTTTTAAAAAAGGAAAACAATATTTCTTACGCAGAGTACGTACCGATTTTATTTTTTTTTTATAATTTGAATATCGAATTTTTAATAGCCAGAACCAATATAACACAGGAATATACTTCTTCGTTGTGGATATTATACGTTTCTCGAACATACGTTACGTTTCTCAGACAAAATATCCGCGTTTTAAAGTAACGCATTTTATATTATTACTAGCTGTTTCTTGCGGCATTGTACGCGTAAATTAATATAATAATGAGTTTATATAATATACAAATATCAAGAAAAAATATATAGTATAGATAATAACATAGATAAATTATATTTAAAATATACCGATGTACCCAATTTCATTGAAATCTGTTGAGCCGTATAAGCGTGATTGAGTTATAAGTATACAAACGTCTTTACACGCTTTCACATTTATAATATTTTTTTTTTTACTTTTAAATTATTCTTATTACGTGAGTAAAACTAATTCATTATAATAATATTGTCTTTTATCTATTTGTTACCCGTCTATAAAAGCTTCAAATTAGTCAGCGGGCTATGGAGAGGGCTATGCTCGGAGTTTCTTTGCGTGACAGAATGCGAAATGAGGTTTTTTACAAAAAAAAAAAACCAAAGTGACTTACACAGCCCGAAGGATAAGCATGCTGAAGTGACAATGGACTGGTCACATAGCTCGAAAACCTAACAATCGATGGGAAAGAATGGATTCCACTAGATGGAATAACGACCTCGAATGCATTGCAGAAAGTCAGTGGACGCAAATACCTTAAAACCGTTCCTCATTGGAGTTTATGTTCAGCAACGGACAGATCAGGGCTGAGATGATGATGATGATGATAAATGTTAATTATAATAATCTAGTTCATATTATATGGAAATTAATGAGAAAAAGCTCTTGTCTGAGAAAAACAACTATTATACATTGTTACAACACACAATAATTAATCTAAGTCTTGCACTAACACGTGTAAAAGTTTTTCACTAGACGAAAAAAACCTAGTTTTGAGTGAGAATTCTCACTATCCCCAACTTCCTTCGGTTTTATATGTTGTTATTAGTTAGTTATGTTAGTTGTTCTTATAAGAAGGGATAAGAGTGAAAACTTTTACTCTTCTAAAAATGTCTATATTTGTGGATTAAGTATACCTAAATAGTTTAATTCTACTTTAGTTTAGTAAAATTTCTAAAACATGCACATTTTCTAAACCTTAATAATGATAATAATAAAGTACTACATGATTCACTGTTTAGGATAAAAGGTTGACTGGTAGAGGATGCTACTAGCATTATGTCCGCCTTTCTTTCAACAAAGTTATTTAAATAAATAAATCAAAATAATACACATTTTTAATACCAATGAATACGTAAAATTAGTACGTTTTACAATCAATAAATAGACTCAATTTGGGCAACGAAAAAAGAAAATGTAACAAAAAAAAAAATAAACAGCGTACCTACATTTATTAACGAAACGGCCGATCGGAAATGTAAAATTCGATAATACCGTTGACTTTTATCGAATACGTTTCCAAATAAAACTCTTATCTTCATTAAATCCGTACAATTCCGGAGCACGTACTACAAATACAATGGCGTGCAATACCTTAAAATCGACCGAATTTGTCCCGAATGTCCAGGGCGAGTGCTGTACACTGGCGTTATCGAAAAACTATAAAACAAAACCTTTTCATTTTGCAAACGCCATAACGATTCGCCTCTGTGGAAGTTTGCAAATCCATGAGCTGAATTAAAGAGCAGTACTAAGAAGCTTCGAGATTTTATGGTGACTGTCTCGGGTGGGATTCACAATAAAATACTATTTGATTGTGTATTCGCGGACGATATTGTATCTTATTGTCATTGCTGTTACATTGATTTTCGCTCGTAACTCTCCCTCGAGTTTCTCCTATCTGTGTGTAATGAGTCACAAAACATCGGTTTAGTGTGTTTCGCCTGGTTATCGCAGGTCGTCGTTGACATTAAATTGTTGTTTACATGGCCTTTTGAAGTTTACATTTTTATGACTACAATGATTTATTTCGTTGCAAGTATTTCATGACTTGCAACTCTTTTAATGACTTGCACTATTCAGAGGATAGCAGCAACGAGGACGAGAAGATCCTGTAACAACCAACTACCACGGCACAAGATACAACTACACATGTCCAATAGCACCTTTACTACTGTTGAAGGCATGACGCCTACAAAGGCACACGAAACTTCTTCATTACTGAGTGAAACTTGTTTATTAGCTAAAATTGTTTACAACTGCCAAAATTTAACACACGATCTATCGATAGAGCTTATCGGTACTGTTAGTGCCCATCTATACTGTAAATTTTAACTGCGTGGTTTTCCGCAAAATTCCGTAATTTATGGCAATATATGAAGATATACGCACTGCGGAAAAAACCGCACTAATATTGCTGCTCTTCTAATTGACATATCAATAAATTGGTTGCAGATCTTTGTTCCCTTTAGTTAGCCAAATTTGTGAAGAAAAATTTACCTTCCTGATCAGGATTACCAATTTACCATTTAGTAAGAAGTTTGAGGCTCTTTATTTATGTACCATCAGTAGGATTTAAGAACTGTGCTCTTGTCAGTGGAGCTCTTGTCACTCACTACAATTTTCAGCAAATCTCTTCATCTCTTGATCGTCGATTGCTTGGGTACCTCTGTCCCATTCGTATTTCAACCGTGAAGCAGTTGTCTTTGCATAGCTGTGTTTCAAATTGAAGGGTGGGTTATGGCGTGAATTTACTGGGTACAGAGGACATCTAAGTCCTCAGGAATGGCAACGCATGGGAGGTATCATGGGCGAAACAGTATACTCTGTTATGTCCATGGTACTGCTCATATCATTAGGCGACGGTTACCATTTTCCATCAGGTGGGCCGTCACCTTGTGTGTCATTCTAAGTTGTATAAAAAAAAAGTAGACATACTGTCTCTGTAATTATCAAGACCTTCACTTATCAGGTCCACACAAGTATAGTCAAGATGTATGTATGTTACACATATTTACAAATAGCTAGTGTAATTTGTATGGGTGCTTACTGTTAGTTAAATGGCACATTAAATATTTACCAAAACGTTTAAGTAAACGTTTTCCAGAGGCAGTCTTTGCACAATAGTAATTTGCACGGGCCCCTTTGTTGCTCTCGTGTTTCTGCCATAAAGCAGCTGTGCGTGCGGAAGTAAAAATAAGATACAATACCGAAATTACGAAGTATAGAGGAATAACACTTGAATCTTCGAAAATGGCAAAAAAAATCAATGACGTCATAGTTCCATCTTCTCTTATTCATAATTCCATCTGTTGGATAAAAAGAAGGGTGAAGGACAAACCTGGTTCGCATAGTCCCCGCGTGTAGGTCTTTTGTTCCGTTCTTGTTCCGTCTTCAAATTATCCAACACTTTTATTGATTTGCTTAAGGTATCACTATGTGTTGCGCGGAGATCGCGGCTGATTGAATAATTCACAACTGGCGGAAATTTATTCGTGATCTAAGCGGAACTTGATCAGCTCGACGCGCGGTTGGATTACAGACTGATTTTGTCCATCTACTCCCCAATGTGATTTCAGATTGAATAGGAAATCTCTCATCACCACGTAACGGATTCTAATTTGGTTTTCACTTATTTAGATATTTTATAGAATATTTGTACATACAATTAATATCTTTGAGAAACTAAGGCAGTACTCTAGTAAAAAATGAACAATAAAACAAGATAAAGATTCGTGAAGATCATAAAAGTGACCATTTTAGTGTACAGCAGCCGAGAGAGTATCTGCAGCATGATGGCATATATCACTCAACCATAGCACAGTTTATCACATCACCTATCACTGCACTATCACGGGACATATTAGCGTCCGACACGTAATAACATGAAATAAAATAATAAACAAATAAATCGTAAAAATTAAAATGAGTAATTAAAAAATAAAATCCAACAAGACTCACCATTTTTAGCTGCCATAGCGAATAACGTAGCACCGAGCAGCGCCGCCGCCGCCAGCAGCCGACACAGCGCCGGCAGCATGATGACCTCTATCACTCAACCATCACTTATCACATCACCTAACACTGCACTATCACGTGTTACATTAGCGTCCGACACGCGCACATCACAATTATTCAAAATGGAATGGACATTTTTTTATACGCTATTTATTTTCGTTGTACCAGTAGTTTGAGCATCTGAAACAAAAATAATTACCATTTATTTCATATATATATCATTTATTTTAAATTTATTTTAAATAGAAAATTATTATTAGAATTATAGACAGTTATATTAATTAAGTGTTCATCTAAAAATCTAAACTAATATTATAAAAAGAACGGATTTGATTTTTTAGTATTTTAATAAAAAAAAAGCTATACAAAGTGTTGCTAGTTTGTATTACACGGGCGTAATAACTAAGTTATGATATTTGACATATCCGTATGGTGACAGGAATCCTACCATCTTATCGTGTTTTCCGATATCCTGGGGATGTTGTAAGATTAAGTGTACTAAGCATATTGTACGTGAACCAGTAAAAGAAAGGAAAATCCTGATCAGCGTAGTGTTGTGGCGACAAACTACACTGGCACTCGCTTAGTTGTCTATGGCCTGCGAGTGCCTATGAAGGATATCTGTCTACATCTTTTTTTTTTTCATCTGTCATATCGTATACATTATAACTTTTTCTTCAACCTTTCATTCATTATATTTATTTAATATTAAACAGATTTATATTCATCATGCTGAACCTATTTTCATGATCCTTCGAACCGGATTTGAACTAACCACCTATTCAAGTATCTGTAAAAAAAAACGCTATTTTGTTGTAAGCAGACATACTGTAACATACGATATAAATAGTATACATAATAATTTATGCTACACTACTAAACTACAACTTTCCCATTCATAAAACAACAAAGAAGTGTAACAATAATGCTTAATATTAATTAATAATAGCAATGATTCATTAGTTTATTTTTTTAAATTCATATTTTGCTTTGACTGTCTATTAATATAACTTCTAAATCAAACATTCCAAATAATTGTTCGAATTTCAAAACCATAAATAATTTACAAGTTGACACGAGTAGAAAGCAAAACACAATGAGGCTTGTCGTTGTCAGATTCCAAAATTCGAATTTCAATTTTCGAACGCGTGTACGTGCAACGTTTGCCGCGTCAAATGAAATGCGGTTCGTGCTAGAATTCCAATTTCAAATGCGAAATGCGAATTGTTAGTGAGCTGTAACGTAAGCGTCTGTGAGATTATTTTGTGGTCTCAATTTTATTTTAAAAACCAGGGTCAAGGAATCCGAGATTGTAAGTTCTTCGTTGCCAATTGGAATTGTGAGATTGTAAAGGAAATATAAATTGTCGGTGGTTGACGATTCCTTTCACAACTCGTCAAAGCTCATAAGCTCTGCTCTTTTCGTATGATCAAGAAAAACAACTGAAAGGACATACATATTCTTTTGAATTTAGCTAAATCTGTTCACGGATGGATCTTTTTCAGGCTACGTAATTTTCCTTAAGTGAATAAATGGTAACTTAAGGAAATTAAATTACTTTCCTATTTGATTTTTGGAAAGTAATAAAAAATGACATGTTTATTCGTATCGGTGACAGTGGCGGGAACACCTACAGCTCGCGTTTTCGTCCTAGCCCCTCAAGACTAAGGGTTCCGAACGGTCCCGAAACTAGTCAAGCTTTCTCGATCAAATTACATGTAAGTTACATTGTACTTCGAAAGATTTAACAATAAAATTACATTAAAATATTACTTTGAATTTGACGTAATCTATATTTATATATTGTATAAATAAGTATACAAATGTATTTGTAATTCTGGGGAGTATCATGGGCGAAACAGTATACTCTGTTATGTCCATGGTACTGCTCATGCTTATAGGCGACGGTTACCACTTTCCATCAGGTGGGCCGTAAGCATGTTTGCCATTCTAAGTTGTATAAAAAAAAATGTAGAACGAATAAGTAGATATTTTGATAATATCTCTCTGTCTAGCCCTAATATGCCTAGCGGGGGGAAAAGGATTGTTAGCAATGGGGTCTAATTGACTCATTGCTAGCAATACACCCTATCAGGTCGACCTCCACGCAGTTCCCCTGGAAACCATCGTGGTTAATTCTAGTGGATTTTGTCACGATGGGCTAACTGACCTGCCTTTCTATCCTCACCTATCATCTCTCACTGGTGCCCCGCCAGCGAACCCTGATAGCGTAAACAAGGTTACTATTCTATTATCAACTATTGAAGAAAAATATATACCTAGCGATAAGATACATCTAATTTTAATAAACATGTAATTTATGTATTAATAGTTGTAGCACTTCAGCTGCCCGCTAACGAAATGCTTTCTTACTGTACTGCGTTGACTGGAAGAGATCTCTGTCAGAGATAAGTCCACCCTTGCTCACAACATTTATAAATACATTATTTTATATGTAACTTACAAGTACAATAAAGAATATATATAAGTTTTTTTTTATACAACTTAGAATGAAGTGAAACCAGAGTTCTAAGCTAGTACATACGAAAGGGCTGTTAAGGTAGCGTTTCATAGCCCGTTAAATTATTACTGCCATTAAAACATAATTTAGGTTCTTACAAAGCCTTAAAGGACGGTGAGCGAAGCTTACTGTATCTTCAGGTTAATTGGGTTTTCTAACGATTTGGGGTCCATTCGCTTTATTAGCTGCTAACTATATGACTCGGTATTGCTTGCGAAAACTAAAACTGTAGAAATAAAAAAAAATGAATAAATCAATTAATAAATGTTGGTAAAGATAGATAGATATTCTTTATTATTTTCTCCATAAGATTACAATAGTAAATTTATTAAGAAAAATTTCAAGAATAGATTAGAACACTGACAAAACAATGGACAGTGTTATCGCTAAAAGCGATCTCTCCTTGGCAACCTTTGGATAGAGAAATATAATTATAAACAGTTTGGCTACATAACCGCTTTCCATCAGGTGGGCCGTACGCTTTTTTGCCATTAGTCGTATAAAAAATTAAAAAAATTGTCCGGAGGCACGAAACTTTGATTTTCACATATTTTTTATAGCACAAAAGTGGCAAACAAACATTCAGCCCGTCTAATGGTTTTTTTATACCACTGAAGTGGCAAACAAGCATACGGCCCACCTAATAGTAAGCGGTTACCGTAGCTTATGAATGCTTGCAATACCAGGAGTATTACGCGCGCGTTACCTACCCTGAAGAAACTTCTTTATTGTTGTTTTGAAGAACCCTTGCTTGGACACCTCTGACCCTTTCGTGTTTCTACCGTGAAGCAGTTGTGTTTACATGGTTGTGTTTCGGTTTGAAGGGTGGGATATGGCAGGGAATTTACAGGATACAGAGGAATGGCAACGCGTGGAAGGTATCATGAAACAGTATACTCTGTTATGTCTATAGTACTGCTCATGTCTATAGGCGACGGTTACCACTTTGCATCAGGTGAGCCGTCAGCTTGTTTGCCATTCTAAGTTGTATATAAAAAAGTTAAAAACAGAACTAAGAGTATATATTTTATTTGCTACATTTACTCAGGCACCGTATACTAACGTGTCTCTTTCATGCAAATATATTGAAAAAGTTACTAAATTTATCAAGTAGTTAAGACTAACTTTTTTTTTTTTTTTTTTTTTTTTATATAACTTAGAATGGCAAACAAGGTTAATGACATTTTTTTGTATTGAATACGGATAAATTTATTGTTATTTTAATGTTCTTTTTCTTATGCAAAATGAATTGAAAAACAAGCTGACAGTCTGCCTGATGGATAGTGAAAATCGCCGCCTACATACATAAACAACAGCATGAAATTCACAGCGCCATTGGGGGGAAAGGGATCGTTAGTAATGGAGACTGAGAATCCCATTGCTAGCAATATACCCAACCAGGTCGACCTCCTCGCGATTCTCCCTTGTAACTATCATGGTTAATTCCTGATGAATTCATCATGATGGGCTAACTGGCCTGTTTTCATTCTCATCTATCACCCTTCACTGGTGCTCCGCCAGCGTATCCCGTTAGCGCAGGCGGGGTTACCATACCATTTTCACCTATAAAAAAAAATTCACAGCGATGTTACGTCTGTATTTTGTATATTGATCTAGGAATTGGTTTGGAATATCACTTTTAATATAAATTACATATATCACTAGCTTCTCCCATGACTTTGTCTGCATGACCAGAAGCGCATGATCATATATTTACTGACCTAGATAAAAATTAGCTCGTATATAGTTCTCCTTTGCATATAGTATGTGTATACCAAATTTAATAGTAACTGGTTAAACCGTTAAGGTGCTATATGGTAACAAACAAATGCAATGCCTCAGGTGTTGAGGGTGATCATGGGCGGTGGTAGTCACTTACCATCAGGTGAGCAGTTTACCAGAGGGAGACTTTGTACAAAAGTCGATTGCTTGGGTACCTCTGTTCCATTCGTGTTTCAACCGTGAAGCAGTTGTGTTTGTATGGCTGTGTTTCGGTTTGAAGGGTAGGATATGGCGTGAATTTACTGGGTACAGAGGAATAACACCTGAGTCCTCAGGAATGGCAACACATGGGGGGTATCATGGGCGAAACAGTATACTCTATTATGTCCATGCTACTGCTCATGTCTATAGGCGACGGTTACCACTTTCCATCAGGTGAGCCGTCAGCTTGTTTGCCATTCTAAGTTGTATAAAAAAAAGAGCATACGACGCACCTAATTGTAAGTGCCTACCCTCTGTGTTATAAAACAAAAACACAAAGAAACAAACTCACTTTTACATTTAATATATTAGTAAGGATGTTATAAATTAAGCAATTCTACTATTACCTCCCATTTATTTTTCATGCAGTATTAATGTACAAGGCGCAATAAGCAATGTAGCTAAATATATGACTTCATAACACTAGTTAAATAGATCTTAATATTTTGACAATAGGTATTTATACAAATAAACTAGCTGACTCGATATACGTTGTTTTACCATATACATCATTTCGAGAACTATACATGAAAATTAATCCTACTACAATTATTATATTCGATTGCCGTCATGCAACCATATTGCGGTATATAAAAATCGCAATTAAAAGACAGGGGTTGATCTTAAAAGCGTGAAAATTTAAATTTATATGTATTTTTCAATGCTAAATTATAAT